GCAACCTCAGTGAACAATTGATGATACATTTTCATTCTGTTTAAGTTGTCATTTCGTGTCCGAGTATTAATATAACATATTACATCGATCTTATCCACTTTATATGTGCAATTAGATACATAAAACAGAAAGCAAAACATTTGTATATACAAACACACTATTTCTTCATGTCGCCCTGTTGTAGTTACTTATGAAACAGCAATGATCCTTGTTTCACAGCTTCCCGAAAATCATGATTGATGGTCCGTACGGTGCACCAGCGCAAGACTACAAGAAATACAAGGTGGTTCTACTAGTTGGCCTTGGGATCGGGGCCACGCCGATGATCAGCATTGTCAAGGACATTATCAACAATATGAAAGCCAAGGAAGAGGCTCAAATCAACCATATGGAGAATGGATCGCGACAAGAGCAACAAAGTAAGAAAGAAAGCTTCAAGACGCAAAGGGCTTACTTCTACTGGGTAACGAGGGAGCAGGGCTCGTATGATTGGTTCAAGAACATCATGAACGAGATTGCTGAACGGGACAAAAGTAAAGTCATAGAGCTACACAACTATTGCACCAGCGTCTATGAAGAAGGTGATGCTCGTTCCGCGCTCATACATATGCTTCAGTCTCTAAACCATTCTAAGAATGGTTTGGACATTGTCTCTGGGACAAGGGTCATGTCCCACTTTGCCAAACCTAATTGGAAAAACGTCTACAAACAAATAGCCGTGGATCATCCTGACTCCAATGTTGGTAAGCTTTCTCTATTCTTTATAGTAGGATTACGTACATACCTCTATATCAACCCCTTGTTATAGGCATGCTTGCATCAACTTGCATGATATTCTGATCTTCATATGGCACCATCGTATTCAGATCATGCAAAGATTAGCTTGGATTCATGAATTTTACACGTTTAAACGCTTTGCTGCAGCTTATAGAAACATAGCTCTAGAATTTAATCTTGTGGTGTAATTAATAACTATAAACAAGAGAAATATACAAAATGAAAAATGTTGTCTATATAAACGTGCAGGAGTGTTCTATTGTGGAACACCGGCATTAACAAAGGAACTAAGACATCTAGCTTTGGAATTCACACACAAGACAAGCACTAGATTCTCCTTCCACAAAGAGAACTTCTAAGGACAATGAAGCTTATATCCACAATGCTGATAAAGTATGATGGCCAACAAGATAATGACATAATTGTGGAGCAAG